GAGAAGGTCAAACGTTGGTCTATTCCACGTAATGTCACCCAGGTCAGAGGTTTTGTGGGTCTTTGCTCATATTACAGGCGTTTCGTGAAAAACTTTGCCTCAATTGTTCGTCCTCTGCAACTACTACAGTAATACACAAAGGCGTACATTTTGTTTGTCAGATGAGTGTGATCATGCTTTTAACATAATTGAGAGAAAACTTGATAACCCACCAATTGCGGCGTATCCTTATTTTAATTTACAATTTCAACTTTTCACAGATGCTTCAGAATTTTCTATTGGCTCTGTATTGACTCAAATTCAGGAGGGTAAGGAACGGGTTATCGCAAAAGTGAGAAGAAGTGGTCTACTTATGATAGGGAGTTGTATGCTATTGTTTGGAGTGTCAGGCATTTTAAGCATTATTTGCGTGGTAACCATTCTTATTGTTACAGGCCACAAACCCTTGACAGGTTTACAGGGGTTACATATAGAAAATGATGTAACAGGTCGTCAAACACGATGGATTCTTGATTTGAATATGTTCAATTGGAAGATTGTGTACAAATCGGGTAAGACATATCTGAATGCGGATTCATTATCCCGTAGACCCGATCCTAGTTTAACAGTTGATCAAGCTTCTGAAGAGTGAGATGATGTTATAGTGGAAGATACTGTAGTACCTGTAAAGGGAATAAACTGTAAAGTTCAGGATGTACATGCCCTAACTTCTTGTGATGGTTTTTCACTTCATAATCAACGTAATATTAAATTAATTAATGAACCGGATAGAGACCCTGAGTTACAGGAGTTCAAAATGTGTGTCCAGTCAGGTGCTAAACCCGTCATTTTGCAGGCAAGTCCTGGTATTATGAACGATGGAGTTTCATCGTTGTTAAAGATTTATGATGGTTTAATGGTCCGCATTACTCATGATAGACGTAAGGGTGAAATTGTACAGTCCATCATACCTAGTTCTCTACAAAGGGAAGTATTAACATCATTTCATGGTTCTAATTCATGACATTATAATTCTGACAAGACTCATTTCAGCTAAGTGTTACTGGCCTATATATAGCACGTGATGTGAAGAAATTTTGTTTGGAATGTCTACCGTGTCAGGCAAGACTAGGACCTGTCCCTGGATTACGTGCTCCAATGGATACAGTGCCAGCAAACCATCCATTTGAGAGAATTGCAGCCTATATTTTACAGAGTTGCCTGTGTCTGCAGCCAGAGGTAGTCGTTACGTGTTAGTAGTAGGTGATTACTTTACCAAATATATAACTTTATAC